ACGAAAAATGATCATAGTACAAATGAATTCAATATATGTAAAGATATGGATGTTACGATGACACGTTCTTGGGACTTTTCCTAGATAATGTTAAAGCTTTGATTTGAGGAGTAAACGTTTTAAAACTAAAAATATTTTTTGAGAAAGTCCACTAGAAATCGAAATTTTTTTTAATAAAATCGCTTGTTACAATAATATTATTATCTTACGCAAAGGTAACGCAAGTTGCATTGGTCGCAGAATAACGAAAGAGACCGATCGGTAATGTTTTCGTAAAAAAGTGCACCAAACTCCAACAACCATCGGTTGCGACTCAAAAAATCAATCAAAAAGTTGAAAACACACACACACACACACAAAAGCTGCAGCAGCTTCCTCCCACGCTCTTCGATCAGATCCAACACACGCAGGTCTCTCCCTCCTCCTCCTCCTCGTAGGTCTGTCTTCCAATTTCATCTTCTACGCGAGATTTGATTTGTCTTTTGAATCTGTGAATTTTTGAGCTCACTCCCGATCCAGATTGAGAGGAGCTTCTCTTTTCGTCAATGCCTTTTAGATTATTATTATTATTTTTCTGAGCTCGGAATCGTTGAGTTTTTGGATTATTGGTCAAAGTTTTAATTCTCCTTTGAGCTGAATCGAGAAACTCAGATTCGTTTCGTGTTTTGTGTTTGTTGTTTCTCTAAGGTTTTAGTGACGTGGCCTTTCTTTATTGCTTCGTATTAGTATGTCCTCTTATCTTTTTCCTTCTTCTTCTTTGTTATTTGTTGTCCGCTTATTGATGCCAAAAAGTATTCACATTTTTCTCTTTCTATAAAGTCTTTTGATTCTTATCTGAGAAATTTTAAAAAAACATGGCTTTTCGTTTGGTTTGGAAAGATCCTGTCTTTGAATAGTTGCATCAGCGTATTAGGAGCTTGCCTTGATTGAAATGTAGCTCTTATGATTGCTTTCTTTGCTCTCTTTCCACTTATTGCTTCGTCATGGAAGTTCTCACATAGACATTGACTCTCTTAAGCTTCTGTTTGTGATTTTAGGTCAAACGTCAAGTGATTCCAGAGGATTGCATTTCATAATATTCACCTGAAAGGGTCCTACCTTCCTTGAATTCAGTTCAGCTACTGGGACATCTATAGAGAGAGTTGAAGAGTTGTACCATTTGAACATATCTGTATATAGTGAGTGCCCACTGGGTCAAAGATATAATTTTCAAAATCCCTTTTTGGTGAATAAAGGCTGTGTGTACTAGATTGTCTGTGAATGGGAGCCAAAAAGGTTGGCTATTGAGTTTATATTATTGATGGAGCAAAGAGTACAGCTACGCGGTGGTAGCACTGTCGAAGCTATGTCCACTCAGGGAAGTTTAGAAAGAGAACAGGTTTTAGAGCCGTTTGATATTGAGAATGAATCCAGAAAGGATACAAACCACCCCAGCAGTTTTGATGTTGGTTACAGTTCCGGTGATAACCACCTCGAAACGTTGCCTAAAGCTTCAACAGAGGCTATCTCTCCCGCTGACATACTAAAGACACTCTTCTTTATACTTGTATGGTACACTTTCAGCACGTTTTTGACTCTGTACGTATGTCTTTGCGACTATCCTTTCTCCTTTTCTTGTTTTTATTTCCTTACATCTGTCATTTTAAGTTGTTGGCTTTTTTTTCTAGGTACAACAAAACACTCTTAGGAGATGATTTAGGGAAATTTCCAGCTCCCTTGTTAATGAATACCATTCACTTTTCTATTCAAGCGGTTTTATCAAAGATGATTACTTGGTATTGGTCTGGAAGGTTTCAACCTGATGTTGCCATATCATGGAGAGACTATTTCCTTAGAGGTAAACTAACTAAAACTATGCCATGAACTCTTCTTTCTTACGCGCTCATCAGGATTTCCATATCCTTTATGTATATGTGATTTCTCACTATATAGTATTGAAAACTTAATGTGGATTTATATATTTTTGTTTCAGTTTTTCAAAGTTGATTATATTGAATTTCTGTTAACTGATGACCCACATGGACTTTCCTTTCACAGTTGTACCAACAGCACTTGCAACTGCTTTGGATATAAACCTAAGTAATGAGTCACTTGTCTTCATATCGGTTACGTTTGCAACAATGGTTAGTTGTTTAACTTGATATGGTAGAGTTCTATGCAACGTGTTAGGAATTTGTGAGTGATAGGCGGGGAGACTTGTCTAATGATATTCACATTATTTTTTGTTTGCAGTGCAAATCTGCAGCCCCAATATTTCTTCTTCTGTTTGCTTTTGCCTTCAGGTGCTTTATCCATAACCATATTTTTATCTTTACATTATTCTTCCATTACTACTACTTTCGTTTACATTATTCTTCCATTACGCATAATTTTTTTCAAACATCACACTGAATTTTTGCTGCATTTTCATCAAGGAGAAATTCTATCATTTTTGTTTGTTGTGTTATTATGACACAGTTTCTCTTGTAAGGTTGGAGTCTCCAAGCCTGAAGCTTTTTGGCATTATATCAGTTATCTCAGCAGGAGTGCTGCTATCAGGTATGTTTTTCTCCAAACATTTATGATGGTTTCTTCCGTCTTTCAACCTTAACCATTTTTTTTCTTCCTGTTTGCCAACTATCGATCCATCTACATTTCTTAGTTTAATTTTTCTAACCAAACTGTTAACTTGTATTCATTTGCATCAGTTGCAAAGGAGACAGAATTTGAGTTTTGGGGTTTCGTTTTTGTCATGCTCGCTGCTGTCATGTCTGGTTTCCGATGGTGTATGACCCAAGTTCTTTTGCAGGTATGTTATTCAATCAGTTTCTAATTTCTAAACCATGCATCGGATCTTTCTGTATTAACCCTTGGTTGTTGTCTTCCAATATTTTTGGTACATCCTGATGACAACATGATGTATAGAAAGAAACCTATGGTAAGTTCTGCTCTTGGTGTTTTCGTGTCTTCGTTGTTAATTTCTTAAAAGTCACACTATTCATGAATTAATCTATATTTTTTTTCCTGCTTATCTAGGCCTGAAAAACCCCTTCACATTTATGAGTTACGTGGCACCAGTGATGGCTATAGTGACTGGTCTTCTGTCCCTTCTTCTGGATCCATGGAGTGAATTTAGAGACAATATATACTTTGATAGTGGAGCGCATTTTACTCGAACTTGTTTCTTGATGCTTTTTGGTGGAGCACTCGCTTTTTGCATGGTAAGTATTTGCTAACAACTTGACAGTTATTTAGGAATGAAATTGTTTCTATAGTGGAGGTCGAACCAGCTTTTGCTCACTAGTTAGTATTTTGTTACAGGTTTTAACAGAGTATATTCTGGTTTCGGTGACCAGTGCTGTAACCGTCACAATAGCGGGGGTCGTTAAAGAGGCTGTCACCATAGTGGTATTTGCTACATTTCTTGCCTTTTACTGATTATGTTTGTTAGTATGTTTCGGATGTGATAGTAACCTCTAGCATTTCCCGTACTTTCCAAATATATATTCGTAAGGATTAGGTGACAATGAGGTTTTTTTCCGTAGGGATGATTTAACTGGTGAAGCTTAGATTGTAATTTCTAAATTGGCTCATTTCTTTAGCAAGAAAGTCCGAACTGTATCTGGTTGAAACCATGCTGTCATGTACTGTGTCAAAGGTTCTCATATAAGTTGTCAAATGGATACAATTATTTGTCAAATGAACTCATATCTTATGAGTTCATGCCTGGCCTTGTGATATTGTTATAGGTCAATAATACTTGTTTAATGATGATACAGAACTCCAGTTTTGGTTGTTTCGGTGTTACTGTTGAATGTTTGATGAATGCTAAATCAAATTGGGATGTGAAATCCTCATTGTTCTTCTTCTACTCGGTGCGTACAGGTTGCAGTGTTTTACTTCCATGACGAATTTACATGGCTAAAAGGTTTTGGTCTGATGATCATCATGGTTGGTGTCAGTTTGTTCAACTGGTACAAGTAAGTAACTCTTCTTTTTCTTCTTCTGAAGGGAGGAACTCTGAAAAACTTCTTTAATTAAACACCTGATACTAAGCTGATAAAATGAATACTATTCGTATTGAAAAATGGTGTTATATGCTTTGATGTGATGGCAGATATGAGAAACTACAAAAGGGGCACAAAACAGAAGATGAGAAGCAGCTACAAGCTCCAAGTCAAACTGGAAAATATGTGATTCTTGATGAGACGGATGATCAAGAAAATGGCCCCTAAGCATTTTTTTTTTTTTTGTGTTGGCATTCACACCTTTCTCTTGTACCTTTTTTTATATTGGTACATCATTATATGTGAACCTTCCTTGAAAAACACTGTAACACTTGGAAATTTTGGATGTTTTCTGGCCTTCAAAAGAGATAAGTAGAACACAAAGCCATTTGAAGAGTTCAAATAAAATTTCTCCTTTTGTAATTCTATTGGTACTCGAGATTGTCCAGATTTGCTCCATACCCTGCTTTTTGCAGTAAACGTTACCATGCAGATTTGGTCAGAGCATGGTATGGAGCAAATCTGAACAATCTCGAGTACTCTGAGAGAAGATTTAGTTACAGATTTTCTCTACCATGCAGATTTGCAGTAAGCAGGGGTAGAGAAAATCTACACAATCTTTGAGTACCCATTTAGTTGGGGTAGAGAAAGATAAGGTAAGGTCATATCTAAGGCGATGATGGGCTTATCCTTTTGTTTGCAAAATTCTTAAGAAAAGAATAACTACGAACCATGAGAAACCATAAAATCTTCTCTCAGAGTTCAAGGCCACAGTGCACAAAAAAAAAAAGAGTTCAAGGCCACTAAGGCAGGCATATACTGTATCACAACACTCATTCCTTAGTAAATGGAAACCACTAGACGAAACTAGCAAAAGAAGACTTAAATATGTTTGACTTTGACCCAAAAAAAAAGGAATTAGATATGAAGACGTTTGGGGTAAGATATTCGAGCTGTCTTTAGGATGATTATATGTAATCTAGACACTAATAACAACCATGAAAACATAAATAATTCCAGACATAACATCCCTTATTAAACCATATCACTGCATAGTGTTTGAACATGAAGCAACAACACATTATTATGTAAATAAGACAGTAATACTAGGTGGAGTTTCTAAGTTATGCATAAAAGTCTTGACACTTGAAACAAGAAAAACATATAGGATCTTCTGTTCTCTTTTATTCTTGTACTCTCATATGCATAACCTGAAGTCTAGTAGTATTTGCCTCCCCACCTATATCATTTGTCATCAAATGGCCAATATTATCAAAAACACATACTAAACGATTGTTTCTTAGGAAAAATTTCAATGCAAGAAAGTTCATTAGCCCTTAAAAAAAACCTGGTCTCTTCGGTTTTAGGAATACGAAGCTCAAGTTCATCCCTCAAGGGCTCAAACATTAATTTGATTTTCTCGTCATCTACCTCATCTAACGTCGCTGGATTCCACTGCATCCGAACCCAACCATAGATATCTTAGTCTGCAACCTCGGTTCTAAGACGACACTTTTGTTTTACTTTCTACAACATAAACATACCTTGGGGCAATTGTCTTTGTCTATGGCGTAAGCTCTTATACCCTGCACGTTATTACACAATCATAGATAAACATACATGATGCTTGTTACTGTTTTCTTGAAGAGCAAAACCAAAAACTGTGGGGTTCTTTTACCTCATACGCGTCCTTGGATATCGTCCTCCGCATGATATTCACGGTGATCCTCAACTCCATCTTCAGGCAATCACTCAGTGTTTGTTTCCTACCTTCACGTATCTGTACACAATGGAAACCAGCAAGGCTCATATATAAGATACTTCTTTATAGTAATAGATATTTTCAAGAGAGAGTTTACACCCAAGGTGGTGAATATGATAAAAGAGTAAACAATTACCGATCGTAGCTTCATTTTCACCGCTGTGGGAGATGATAGTTTAAGACCTGTGATGAATGGAGTTATCCACTCATTTCCTTCTTTGTCCCCTTCAGCTTCCTGTAAGAGGACCGCAAATATATATTTAATTAGTCAATACCGGATGAATAGACTCATGTTCAAGGGAAAATCAGATGACTTACACATGCTTGTATGATTTGCTTCACACTATCTTTTGAGAAACACTCATCAATTATTGACCGCCTGCATATCGCCATAACCTCAGAGTTAACAACGTTCATGTAATTATTATATATACCAAGGAGGAGAAAAGGTTACATGAGAAAAGAGTGTTACTTTTTAAGGATGCTGTCTTTGTCGAGGTCTACTTTCTCAGAGAACTCTTCAATTGTGGATCGAACTACATCCTTGTCTCCAGAGTCTAAACTCACAAGCCGTTCCTCCAGATCAGCCAGTTTCTGAAATAAAGCAAATATGCTAAAGATTGAGACATCATATAGGTTCAAAACATTTCTAAAGTTGCAGATGATGTATATAAGAGTAGGAAGGCATCTCAAGAAAGAGATGTCACATTTTATAATCCTATAAGGAACGCATTCCAAAAAAAAAAACTCACTGCCGAAGGTACAAAATGTGTTGCCATGCCAAGTTCTACAAGTTCTTTGCCATTCAATCTTGCACCAGTTAAAGCCAAGAATTCTCCTGCAATATAAAACTCCTCAAGTAAACCAGAGATTAACCAAAGTATATTTGGAACTAAGACAATCGGTTTAAGTAGTTAGTTACCTAAATGACCAGGAAGACGTGAATGGATGTAAGAGAAGCCAGAGTCAGTGTGAAACCCAAAACTTGGTTCTGCAGTTGCAAAAACCTAACCAAATGACAGAGATAAAGTTGAATCTATACTTGTTTCTACACTGTGATTATGCAGAAATAGTAGATTAATATCATAACTTACAGTTTTCTCTGTCGCAACATAGAACTCCATTGGGACCATCAATGATGCACCTCCACCCATCGCTGATCCATTAACAAAACAAACCTACAAGACTATTTGGTTAGTCTAATACTCCTCAGGAGAACACTTTCATAAAAATTAAACTCCACCTGAGTCTTCTTGTACGTGTGGATATGATAGCAAAGCCAGTACATCCTGTAAAACAAGGCAAGAATCCGCTGTATCATCATCAAGTTATGGCAAAGCTCTCTTCGAATGTGTTTTCTTTCGAAAAAATTAAGTTACTCTTGACCTTTCATATGATCTACGACCGCTATTATACATCTTTAGATCAAAATCACCGGAGAAAGCTCTCTCTGCACCCTGCAAAGATAAGCTATGTTCAGAAATGAGTCTATTGTGTTTTTAACATCAATCATCAAATTAGACCAAGGACGGCAAAAAAAATCAAACCTTGATCAGTATAAGTTTTGTTTTGTCGTCCTTCTCCCAGGTTTCAAGATATTCTGAAAGCTTGAGGCCCTGAGTTTCAAAATTTTTGTTCCCATTAGGTGTCTCATATTATCAACTTCTGATCTAAGGTGTTAGTATATACCACTTCAGAGGTGACGACATTTTGGTGACGAGGGCAGTTTAGTGTGAGCAATCTCACAAAACCTTTCTCCTCTACAATAACAGCCTATAACAAAAGTGGTTTTCAATTTAATAATGAAGGATACACAGAGACCACAAATAATGGCTGAATAAGGCAGAGAGGTTACCTGCTCATCGATGTTTCGACCTTCTTGAGCCATCTCGAGCTTCCTAAAACGTAAAAAAAATGCTTATTTATCTGGTATACGAAAACAATCTCAAACGACAAAAGTACAGTTGCAAGAAATTCCACAAAAACTTCAGAGACCCAATTGCCAAATACCAAGACTAGAGAACTTACAACAACAACAACTTTTTAAATAACAATAATAAAAACCCTAAACCCTCTAACAAAACTACATTGGTTCTGATATCAACTTGAGGGGGAACAACCCATGTCACAAGTTGTAAACAAACACACGCAACAATCAAATTCTAGAGCCTCTCACAAAACTGACGAAGCAAAGTGTGTGAAACCAAGAAGGGCAGGGGAAAACCTTGAGAGAGAAGAAGAAGAAGAAGCAGAAGGGGGTTTAGTGAGCAATGGAGCTCTGAAACCAACTATATATAAATACTTTGAATATTTGTTCGGCCATTGGAAAAAATGGCAGGTGAAGCTAACCATCATACCAAAAGGAGGAGAGCGATTGGTAGGTAGAGAGTCGTATCAAAACCTCACAGTCTCTTTCACCTAAACTTCTCACAAATCCAATATCATTCATTCACACTGCTACTCCTTTCAACCTGTTAAGAATGTCAGCTTTTAGGTAAATCAGGAGAGTTGTTAACACATCACATGAAAGACTTAACCACTTGATTACTAAATTAAGGTGTGTTGGTGGTTTCTCATGAATGCAAATTGTACATACATACGTTTTTGGTGTTAGAATTATTTAAACGCTATCTAAGTTTCCTAATATAATAAAGTTAATGTTGCTAAAAATACTAAAAACTTATTTAACTGAAACATTAAAAGTAACTACTCAGATATATTTACTCACTAATTTTTACCAAAATCTTGTATAAAGTTGATGTTGTTCAAAGAAAATAAATTTTGAAAAAGCAAGTTTGAGATCAAAGATACACACACTGATACATTAGCATAAAATACAGAAAAGTTATTTAGCTGAAACATTAAAAGTAACTACTCGGATATATATATACTCACTATTTTTTACCAAAAGCTTTTATTAACTACTTAACAACTATTCAGCTCACAAAACGATCTAAGACTTTTATGTATGAGTACAAAGATTAATGTTCAAACATCTAAAGCATTCAAAACGCGGAGTTTTATACAGCTATTACCCCCATGACATGAATCGTAATTGCTTGGGATGATATTATTGTAACGGATAATATCTCCCTCCCACCACCATCTAAAGCACATAGAATCATCACTCTCTACGCTTCGCAAGCAACTATGCAAACACCTATCGTTCATCGGAGCAGATCCTCGAACTCCTCTCGATCGACAATCGACTCTTCTCATTGGGCATTGGCTTCACTTACCTCACTGAGTCACTGACTATTCGTCTCTTAGGTTTCAGTTCCTGGGCCTCACATCCTCATTTAGGATTCTATTTGTGATTCATAGTTGGGCCTGCGTATCTGGAAACTATAGTCTAATGGGCTTCTAAAACTTTCTCAGATTTTTTTGTTTGTTTCTAAATGTTAAGAAAGCCATTTAAGAAAAGAAAAATTAAAGTAACTAACAATGTTTATGCATGTATACTAAGAGCAAAAGTCAAACAATAAATGAAAACATTTGAATTAACGAAATTGACGACTGTGAAGAAGGAAGAAGTGTGACGAGCCATAACAGGTCAAGACTTAAAAAAAACATAAACTATGACTCCTCTGATCAAATTAATAGCTTTTGAAGACTTTACCGCCCAATGTAAGAGTGCAAACGTGTTTAGGATGATTATATGTATTTTAAACACTAATAACAACCATGAAAACAGAGATAACAACCCTCATTAAACAATATCACTGTATAATATAGTGTTCGAACATGAAGCAACAACACATTATTATGTAAATAAGACAGTAATACTAGGTGGAGTTTCCAAGTTATGCATAACAGTCTTGACATTTGAACAAAACATCATATAGGATCTTCTGTTCTCTTTTATTTCATATAGCTGGACTGGAGTTTCGAAGTTATGCATAACCTGAAGTCTAGTAGTATTTGCCTCCCCACCTATATCATTTGTCATCAAATAGCCAAAATATCAAAACACATACTAAAGGATTGTTTCTTAGGAAAATTCCAAATGCAAGAAAGTTCAATAGCCCTTAAACACAAACCTGCGCTCTTCGGTTTCAGGGATACGAAGCTCAAGATCACCCCTCAAGGGCTCAAACATTAATTTGATTTTCTCGTCATCTACCTCATCTAACGTCGCTGGATCCCACTGCACCCAAACCCCGACCATAGATATATATCTTAGTCTGCGACCTAGGTTCTAAGACGACACTTTTGTTTTGCTTTCTAGAACATATACATACCTTGGGACATTTGTCTTTGTCTATGGGGTAAGCTATTATACCCTGCACGTTATTACACCATCACAGATAAACATACATGATGCTTGTTACTGTTTTCTTGAAGAGCAAAACCAAACACTGTGGGGGTTCTTTTACCTCATACGCGTCATCTGATATGGTGCACACCATGATATTCAAGGTGATCCTATACTCCATCTTCAGGCAATCACTCAGTGTTTGTTTCCTACCTTCACGTATCTGTACACAATGGAAGCCAGCAAGGCTCATATATAAGATATATTTTCAAAAGAGTGTTTACACCCAAGGTGAATATGATAAAAGAGTAAACAATTACCGATCGTAGGTTTATTTTCAACGCTGTGGGAGATGATAGTTTAAGAACTGTGATGAATGGAGTTATCCACTCATTTCCTTCTTTGTCCCCTTCAGCTTCCTGTCAGAGGACCGCAAATATATATTTAATTAGTCAATACCAGATGAATAGACTCATGTTCAAGGGAAAATCAGATGACTTACACATGCTTGTATGATTTCCTTCACACTTTCTTTTGAGAAACACTCATCAATTATTGACCGCCTGCATATCAGCCATAACCTCAGAGTTAACAACGTTCATGTAATTATTATATATACCAAAGAGAAGAAAAGGTTACATGAGAAAAGAGTGTTACTTTTTAAGGATGCTGTCTTTGTCGAGGTCTACTTTCTCAGAGAACTCTTCAATTGTGGATCGAACTACATCCTTTTCTCCAGAGTCTAAACTCACAAGCCGTTCCTCCAGATCAGCCAGTTTCTGAAATTAAGCAAATATGCTAAAGATTAAGTAATCCACTCATCATATGTTGGTCCAAAACATTTATAAAGTTGCAGATGATGTATATAAGAGTAGGCAGGCATCTCAAGAAAGAGATGTCACATTTTATAATACTATAAGGAAAGCATTCCAAAAACAAAAAAAACTCACAGCCGAAGGTACAAAATGTGTTGCCATGCCAAGTTCTACAAGTTCTTTGCCATTCAATCTTGCCCCAGTTAATGCCAAGAATTCTCCTGCAATATAAAACTCCTCAAGTACACCAGAGATTAACCAAAGTATATTTGGAACTAAGACAATCGGTTTATGTACTTAGTTACCTAAATGACCAGGAAGACGTGAATGGATGTAAGAGAAGCCAGAGTCAGTGTGAAACCCAAAACTTGCTTCTGGAGTTGCAAAAACCTAACCAAATGACAGAGATAAAGTTGAATCTATACTTGTTTCTACACTTTGATTATACAGAAATAGTAGATTAATATCATAACTTACAGTTTTCTCTGTCGCAACATAGAACTCCATTGGGACCATCAATGATGCACCTCCACCCATCGCTGATCCATTAACAAAACAAACCTAGAAGACTATTTGGTTAGTCTAATACTCCTCAGGAGAACACTTTCATAAAAATTAAACTCCACCTGAGTCTTCTTGTACGTGTGGATATGATAGCAAAGCCAGTACATCCTGTAAAACAAGGCAAGAATCCGCTGTATCATCATCAAGTTATGGCAAAGCTCTCTTCGAATGTGTTTTCTTTCGAAAAATTTAAGTTACTCTTAACCTTCTATATGATTTTGGACGGTTAAAAAACATCATTCGATCAAAACCAGCGGAGAAAGCTCTCTCTGCACCCTGCAAAGATAAGCTATGTTCAGAAATGAGTCTATTGTGTTTGTAATGTAAATCATCAAATTAGACCAAGGACGGCAAATAAAATCAAACCTTGATCAGTATAAGTTTTGTTTTGTCGTCCTTCTCCCAGGTTTCAAGATATTCTGAAAGCTTGAGGACCTGAGTTTCAAATTTTTTGTTCCCATTAGGTGTCTCATATTATCAACTTCTGATCTAAGGTGTTAGTATATACCACTTCAGAGGTGACGACATTTATCTGAGGAGGAGGGTCGTTTAGTGTGACCAATCTCACAAAACCTTTCTCCTCTACAACAACAGTCTATAACAAAAGTGGTTTTCAATTTAATAATGAAGGATACACAGAGACCACAAAAAATGGCTGAATAAGGCAGAGAGATTACCTGCTCATCGATGTTTCGACCTTCTTGAGCCATCTCCAGCTTCCTAAAACGTAAAAAAATGCCAAATGTGACAAATCCCAAGACTTGAGAACTTAGAACAACAACCTTTTAAATAATAATAATAAGAAAAACCCTCTACCCTCAAACAAAACTATACACATGCAACAATCAAATTCTAGAGCCTCTGACAAAACTGAAGAAGCAAAGCGTGTGAAACCAAATGAGAGAGAAGGGGGAAACCTTGAGAGAGAGAAGAAGAAGCAGAAGGGAGTATAGTGAGCAATGGAGCTCTGAAACCAAATATATATACTAGTATGTTTCAACCCGTGCAATGCATGGTCATTCTTCATTGATTTCTAATTTTTTTAATCCAAAATTAATAACAAAAATCATATTATTTAGTTAAAACTTAACTGTGTTGTTACATAAAGTTAATCTTTATTTTTAATAAAATAACTGATTGTATCATGACAAAAAATGCTAATAATATAATACCAGACAAAAAATGCTAATAATATATTTGGTTGAACAAAATATGAGAGAGTATACTAATAATATAATACCAGACAAAAAATGCTAATAATATAATACCAGACAAAAAATGCTAATAATATAATAGATGTAAATATACTTAACTAATTACTTACTTTATTTTAATTTATTTTTTACCATATTCAAAATGACCTCAAGCATATCAAGACATGCGTATATATATATAGTAACCTTATGATATTTATTATGTTAATTATTTTTCCAATAGTCATTTAGGGGTTGTACAATTTCGATATTTTTTTAAAACAAAAGCATAAAATGTTTTCTACAATAATTATTGTTTAAAAAAGAAAAAGTATATATAAATAATCTCTGAATACTTGTTCGGTTATTGTAAAAAAAAAGGCAGGTGAAGCTAATTAGTCATACCAATATAAGGAGAGTGTTTGGTAAGACAAGAGTTATATCAAAAAATTACAGTCTCTTCATACTGCAACTCCTTTTAACCCTTTAAGAAAGTTAACTTTTTACTTAAATCAGTAGAGTTTATAAAACATCATAAGAAAGACTAAACCACTTGATTACTAGATTAAGAGGTGTGTTGTTGTTTCTCATGAGTCACGAATGAAAATTATAACACATACATACGTTTTTTGGGGTTGAATTTTGTAAAAGTTTTCCCTAATTTAATAAAGTTAAATGTGGCTCAAAGAAAATAATATTTTGAAATTCAGATCAAAGATACAACACATACACACACTAATACAATAGCATAAAACACTGATAAAGTTAATTTAGCTGAAACGTAACTAGTCGGATTAAACATTATCAAAAGCTTGTAATTGACTACTTAACAACTATCAAACGATCTAAAGCAATTAAAAAAATCGGTGTTCTATGGAAAATGTCGCCAGAAGATTACCCTCATCGTGCTTGCCTGGGATGATATTATTGTAACGGATTAGAGAAACACACGACTCCATCGTTCAATTAGAGAGCAGATCCGAAAACTCCTCTCGATTGATCCCTTAGAAATGATGATGCAGAGGTGGATTCGTTTGGGTTTGGTTGATGATCTGATTACAATCGTCTCTTCCTCGTCACTTTAGCTTCTTCACTCTACTCGTCTACTAGGTCTCTCCAAGTGTTTCAGTTCTTGGGCCTTACATCCTCATTTAGGATTCTTATTTGTGATTCATAATTGGGCTTGGGCTTGTAAAACTATAGTCTATGGGCTTCTAAAACTTTCTAATTTTTTTGTTTGTTTCTAAATGATAAGAAAGCTATTTATAGTATTTACAACAAAAAATTAAAGTAACTAACAATGGTTATGCATGAATGGAAAAAGCAAAAGTAGAAAAAAATAAAATGATGACATTTGAAATGAATGAAATTTTGATTGAAAGAAGGAAAAACTAGACTTTGATTTATGTTTTATAGATCAAATATGGCTGGTTATCTTCAAATGTATTTATATGGTGTTGACAACTCCATTTTTAGATTTAGACGTTTGGGGCTTTACATATCTTAGTCTTCAGGATTATATGTAAAAAAAACACAAGTAACAACCATGAAAACAGATATAAATTCAGACATAACAACCCTTATTAAACCAAATCACAACAACCCATTATGTAATCATTACAACATATACTAGGTGGAGTATCAAAGTTTTGCATAGTCTTGACACTTGAACATAGACGACACATACAGCAGGATCCTTTCTTCTCTTCTCTACTTTTTTATCCTCGTGCTGATGCAAAACCTGAAGCCTCGTATTTGCCTCCCCACCTATATCATTGTTATCAAATGGTCAAGTATCAAACACATAAAAAGCTTGATACTTAGGGAAATACCAACGCAAAAAAAAAAAAAAAAGTTTATTAACCCTTAAAACAAACCTGTTCTCTTCGGTTTCAGGGATATGAAGCTCAATATCATCCTCCAAGGGCTCAAACACCAAGTTGATCTTCTCATCAGCTACCTCATCCAACGTCGCTGGATTCCACTGCACCAAGCCCAACCATATAAGTTTTCTAGTATGTTAACTTGCCATCTCAGTTATAAACATACCTTGGGAGAGTTGTCTTTGTCTATGGTCAAAGCTCTTATACCCTGCAACGTTATCAGACATAAAACATACATGATGCTTGTTACTGTCTTCTTGGAGAGAAAAACCAAAAGAAAAAGGTGTCACGGTATGTGTTCTTTACCTCATACACATCAGGAGATATGGTGCTTCTCAAGATATTCACAGTGATCCTAAACTCCTTCTTGAGGCAATCACTCAGTGTTTGTTTCCTACCTTCACGAATCTGTAACAAAAAAACAGCAAGTCTCAAATATACGATAAGACTCATATATTTTCAAGAGAGAGTTATATCATGAGGACCACTAATATTATAATAAAAGAGTAAAATCATGTAACAAGTAAACACTTACCGATCGTAGTGTTATTTTCAACCCTGTGGGGGATGATCGTTTTAGACCTTTGATGACTGGAGTTATCCACTCGTTTCCCTCTTTGCTCCCTTCAGCTTCCTGTGTAAAAGAACCACAAATATATATATTCAATACCGATGAATAGACTCATGTTATAGGAAAATCAGATGACTTACAAATGCTTGTATGATCTGCTTCACACTTTCTTTTGAGAAACACTCATTAATTATTGACTGCCTGCACATCAGCCATAACCTCAAAGGTTAACAACGTCCATGTGATTATATATATCAACAAGGAGGAAAGGTTACACAATACATCAAGCATGAAGAAAAAGAATTAAAGAGAGAAAAAGAGTGTGTTACTTGTAAAGGATGCTGTCTTTGTCGAGGTCTACTTTCTCGGAGAACTCTTCAATTGTGGAACGGACTACATCCTTGTCTCCAGAGTCTAAACTCACAAGCCTTGCCACCAGATCAGCCAGTTTCTGAAATTGAGCAAAGATGCTAAAGATTAAGCAATCCACTCATCATAGGTTCAAAACATTACTAAAGTTGCAGATGATGTATATAAGAGTAGGAAGGCATCTCAAGCAAAGAGAGGTCACATTTTTATAATCCTATAAGGAAAGAATTTAAAAAAAAAACTCACAGCAGAAGGAACAAAATGTGTTGCCATGCCAATTGCTACCAGTTCTTTGCCATTCAATCTTGCCCCAGTTAAAGCCAAGAACTCTCCTGCAGATATATAAAAGTCATGTACAAATACAATAGCAAACGTATAGTTGGAACTAAAAAGTTTGGTCATAGTGGTTTAGTAGTTACCTAAATGACCAGGAAGACGTGAATGGATGTAAGAGAAGCCACAATCAGTGTGAAACCCAATACTTGCTTCTGGAGTTGCAAATACCTAATCAAATGACAGAGATAAAGTTGAGTCTATCCCTATTTTAACACTCTTATAGAGAAATAAGATATGATAAACTAATAAACTCACAGCTTTCTCTGTCACAACAGAGAACTTCATTGGGACCATCAATGATGCACCTCCACCCATCGATATTCCATTGACAAGAGAAACCTATACAATTACATATGGTTACTTGATACTTCTAAAGAGGACACTTTCATACAACAATATCTGGAAGAAAAAAAAAACAAGTAAAGTCCACCTGAGTCTTCTTGTAAGTGTGGATATGATAGCAAAGCCAGTACATCCTGTAAACAACCTCAAGGCAAGAATCCTCTGTAGAAAACGACTTATCATCATTAAGTTATGACAGATACTCTCCAAGGAAAGGTTATAGTATGCATTTCTCTTGGCCTCCTCTTACTTGATTCACGGCCGTCATAAAACATCTTTAGATCACCACCTGCTGAGAAAGCTCTCCCTGCACCCTGCAAATATATAAGCTATGTTCAGAAACAAGTCTATAGTGTTTGTAAGTTTGTAACAAAAATTATCATCGGACCAAGGATTTAACAAATCAAACCTTGATCAGTATAAGCTTTGTTTTGTCGTCCTTCTCCCATGTTTCAAGATATTCTGCAAGCTTAAGGACCTGTGTTTCAAAGTTTTCCCATTAGGCATTTCATATTATACAACTTACGATCTAATATCTTGATAATGTATACCACTTCAGAAGAGATGACATTTAGCTGACGAGGGCGGTTTAGTGTGGCCAATCTCACAGAACCTTTCTCCTCTCCAACAACAACCTATAACAATATTTCCAAAAGATGTAATGATGGTATACGATTGAATCATGAAGAACACACAGAGACCACAAACATGGTTTGAATAAGGCAAAGAGAGATTATTTATTACCTGCTCATCGATGATGTTTCGACCTTCTTGAGCCATCTTATTTATCTGATCAATAAAGACCATCAAGTTGAAAGATCTAGACATGAAAAACAAACTCTAACGACAGATATTACACTGGCAGGAAAATTCCTCAAGAGCTAAGAAACTTGCAACAACATTTTAAATAATAATAATAACTACCAAGAATACAAACATATATTAAAAAGAGATGAACTTTATGATCATATAATGAGCATATTTCAAACCAAACTACACTGTTCTGATCAATTTGAGGTGGAACAACCCATGTGACAAGTTGCAAACACACATGCACCAATAGAGCCTATGACAAAACTGAAGAAGCAAAGAGTGTGAAATCAAAAGAAAGAGAAGGGGAAAACCTTGAGAGAGAAGACGCAAAAGAGGGGTTGGTTGGTGAGCAATGGAGCTCAGAGAGAAACCAAATGTATAAATAACAAATAATCTCTAAATATTTGGTAGGACATTGGAAAAAGGCAGGTGAAGCTCATCATATCGTATCAAAAAGGAGGGTTTGGTAGGAAAAGACTTCTATCGAATTCTTTCAGCCTCTTCTACCTAACCTTCTCTGCAAATTCAATTTCATACTGTTACTTTTTTTTAACCTACCAAAAAAAAAGATTTTAAATGTTGCCTGAATTTTAATTGACACAAAATTTTTTAGAAATTGAACTTACAACATTATTTGTAGTCACAATTTTAAAATTTAACTTGACACACAATACCAAAAAGAACATAAACATTAGTACTCTACTCACAATGGTTTTAAGTGTGTTTACTGTTTTTGTTCAAGTGTGATTAGTAACCAACTAATAATCACTGTTACTATCTGACTCATATGGCAGTTAATGGGCTATTTTAATAAATAACGTTCGATGGGCCTAATCCTACCAAAATCAGGCCCATCTGCCATTAAAGCTCTCTCAAGCTCCCCTCTCTCCGCCTCCACATCGAATGAAGAAAGCGAGGGTTCTGCTAAAACCCTCTTTCCTCCGCAGAGCCACTTCCATCTTCTCCTCCCTTTCTCAGACTCGAGCTCTCTCTAACCTGATGGAGACGAATAATCCTTCGTCGCGTTACTGTTATGATCCAGTGTTGCGATGGGATCCTCAAGTTGAAGACTACTTCAACAAAGCTTATGGACCTCATCACTTTTCTCGCATCTCAAAATCTCTCACGTACTTAAAAACCTCCTCTCCTTCTTCTCTCACCTTATAGCTTCGAATTAATTACGTTTTTTTTTATTTTCTCATTGTTAGGCGTCCATCTTCGTATTCATGCATTCGAGTGAATACAGTTAAAACAACGAGCGGTGCGGTTATTGAGAAGCTTACGAAGATTTTAAACGAATCCGAGGATAGTTTGAAGCTAGTTCAATCAAATGGGAGTAGTTCAATCTCCAAGTGTCAGATTCCTGGTTTGGAGTATGTTGTTTTTGTCCATGGTTCAGGCCCACATAGAATTGAATATGGGCCTGAGAAGCCTCCTAAGGAGGTGTTAGTTAGTAGGAAGTGTGCTGAAGCAGTTCTTAGAGGAGCTCAAGTAAACTCTATTTTTCTCTCAATTAGAAAAAAACTATAATGGCTTTTAATAGGTTTTCTTTGTAATTAGTTATTGTAGGTGAAAAGAAAAAGATTTTGAATTTTGTCATATGTGGATTCTGTTGTAGGTTTATGTGCCAGGTGTACTGGCTTGCACTGCACATGTTGAGAAAGGAGATGATGTTGCTGTGTGTGTTGCTATGGAACAACCTGGTGATGAAGGTGAATGGAGTGTTAATATGACTCGTGGGACTACTCTGCAGGGTCTACCATCAGGCAAGCATCATAATTTGTTCCTTTTGATTTGATCATGTTAACTATGCTTTAGGGGTTGCCAACAAACAAATTTTGTAAAATATTTCGAGCTTAAACAGTTGACATGTGACGTAGTGTTATTGTAGATCCTTTCTATTGTGAACGCAGTGGACTATATATTGGGATGGGAACAACTATGTTGTCAAGGGCTGGCATGTTTCGTGTTCCTAACGGAGTTGCTGTGGATTTGAGCAATAGAGTTTTCAGATTGCCTTCTTTCCATAGTATGTTTGCTTTCTACTTCAGCTTACTACAGTTTATGACTCTCATTATCTTATTTCATCATGGGGGTATTTTTCTCACATTGTCTTTTTGGCTTGCTAGATGTCCTCGAGGGGGAAATATTTCTTCAAAACCTGCCAAGCATTGTTGCTGCTCATGCTCTTGGTACGTGAACTATTTTTTGGTCTACGCCATACCTATACCTTTCAGCCCTTTGTATGATATAGTATACATAAATTTTTAATTCAAATATAGTAGATACATATATATATGAGAATGCCGGTGGGATATAAGATTGATGAAGTTTTATGCTAAATTTTTGTTTTGGCCTCCCAGATCCTCAGAAAGGAGAGAGAATATTGGATATGTGTGCAGCACCAGGAGGGAAGACTACTGCAATTGCTATACTTATGAATGATGAGGGAGAGATAGTGGCAGCAGATAGATCTCATAACAAAGTACAGTTTCTTTTTATTACATAGCAACAACATTTTAATTTCCTCGCATAATTTATTTGTAACACAAACAAAAAGGTCGTCTCGTTTGGATTGCAAAAAGTTACCTGCTCTAATTAGTCCATTTATTGTCTTTGGAAATGAAGGTGCTGGATGTACAGAAATTGTCTGCTGAGATGGGCCTAAGTTGCATAACTACATGTAAATTGGATGCGCTGAAATCTGTTCTTCTTCCAAACGCACTCGGTGATTCAACAACATTAGTTAACGGTGACAATATTGGTTCTGTGACCAGCCATTCTGAATTATCATCAAACGAAGATATGACATCTGGAAAATCTGAGGCTAAGAAATCATCTGAGGAGAATGGTAAGTAAGCTACCCTCTCTCCCTCTCATTGTGTTTGCTTAGTTTAGTTGTTTTCTTCTGTATGTTAGCCTCTGTGTTTGCTAGGTGATAGTACATCAGTAAACTTACCATGTTTTCGGAAAAGAACCTTAGTAATCACTTGATCACCATATAGATACATAACATTACTGAATAGGCATCCACAGTCCATTATCTTGTGCCTTCATACGTGTGTATAAATGCAAATCCTTATATATTAATTCCATTAATTTACCAAAAAAAAAACAAGCTGAATCTTGATCTTTTCATGATCATCCATATTTTAGCCAGCATTGAACAGGCAAATGGAGGAGATAATGTTAGCCAAGCTGATGTCAGGAAGAATAAGCGAAGGCTGAAAAATGGTCGCGGAAGAACGCAATCCCAAGGTGGAAGGGCTGGAAAATCACAAGGTTTCCCACCTAATAGTTTTGATAGGGTCCTCTTAGATGCTCCTTGTTCTGCTCTTGGCTTGAGACCTCGTCTTTTCGCTGGACTGGTAAGTTATATTCAAGACTTCTACTTTTCGTGATTATAAGCATACACTTCTCATGAGTAATAGCGTGGACATATTGTAGTATTTGTGTCAACATCTGGATAGCCTTAGCTTAATCACTTGTATGCAGGAGAATTAATATTTCTTAGTAGTTTCTTGTAGTAATGGAAATACTTTTATAAGTGAAGACCAAAATATAGAAGTGTTTGTATCAACTTAGAGTAAACTCTCTATTTATTCCTCCTTTCTTTTTCTAAAGATTATTGGGAAAGACTTGTGGAATGAATTTGCCATTGTTATTTCTTGTAGGAAACTGTTATATCGTTGAGAAACCATGGAAGGTACCAGCGGAAAATGTTGGACCAGGCTGTTCAATTGGTCCGCGTTGGTGGAATTCTTGTATACTCAACGTAAGTATGCCATTGCCAACATATCCGCGGTGACAAAGAGTTACTATAAACTTACCTGTGAATGATTTGTTTTCCATTTTGCTAGATGCACAATTAATCCTAGCGAGAATGAGGCGGTGGTTCGCTATGCTCTGGATAAATACAAATTTCTTTCTTTAGCACCACAGGTTTGAATCTAAGATACCCTTTTCTGAGAAACTGTTCGAGTTCTTGGCAAACATTGCATGAAGATCTTGTTCTTTTGTCCTAATGTAGCTTCATGTGTGTTGCTGTCTTATTGCAGAATCCTAGGATTGGAGGCCCTGGTCTAGTTGGTCGATGTGAATTCCCTGACGGATATGTAGAGTAAGTATCTATACTCACGAGAGTGATTACATTTACCAAACCAAAACTGTAAAACATAGTTGGTATTAAGATATGGCTCCCATTATTACGTTTTGCAGGGAGTGGTTGAAACCTGGGGAAGATGAAATGGTTCAGAAATTCGACCCTTCATCTGAGCTTGATACCATTGGCTTCTTTATAGCTAAGTTCAACGTCGGCCCCAAGGATTAACATCTCAAAATGCTGATTCCTAATCCAAAGACATTACACAAAAAAAAAAGATTGTTATTGGTCTGGTTTTCTGGATGAGATGGAGACACAATTTTGTAATCATCTTTTTGAATTTAACAACATAAATGTCATCACTGTAGGGGATAAAAATAATTCTATACACCTAAATAACAAGCAAGTCGTTTAGTTAAGAGTAGAGGTTGCGATAAAAATAATTCTATACACCTAAATAACAATATCATCGGGGATGTAGCTCAGATGGTAGAGCGCTCGCTTAGCATGCGAGAGGTACGGGGATCGATACCCCGCATCTCCATCTTTTTCTTATTTTATATTGTTAACTTTCTGTCTTGTCCGTTTTAGCCTTTTTTTTTTTACCTTTGTGATGTTCGCTTTAAGTCTCCGTTAATCTATTTGTTTTGCTGACTCTCTATTGTGATCACCAGGTCCAGTGTGAGACCAAATGGACCCATTAGATAGCTTGTGTCTGAAGAAAACTCCAAAGTACAGAGAGACCAGCATTAGAGGTTACGCTGCTTACTTCAATAGCAATGAACTAGAAGAAACTTCTGCTTTGCTACATTTTAAAATAGGAACTACATCTTTCTCACATACTCTTTTTTTTTTTTTGCAAACATCTTTCTCACATACTCTTTTTTTTTTTTTTTTGCAAACATCTTTCTCACATACTCAGACATAAATATATATGTGTAATATATCTAGATTCGCAGATTAAAAGAAATATCAAAATGAGTGCCTGGGGAAGAGAACTCCCAAGAGGTTCATAAAACCATCACTGTCTTTGCTTTTTACTCTTTAACATCTTATTATAAAGTTCCATCAAAGCCGGTAATGAGAGTATCTTCATTGCCATCTCTGTAGGTAACACTCTTCTCTGTACGAGAGCCAAGTTTTAGGACGAAACTACTAAGTTTGGTTGCAATGGATGCTTCAGCTGCGATATGTCCGAGTCTTCATCATCCTCCTCCATCGCTTCAAGATTCCTGCATCACACACATTTATAGACTTCATTGCTTATCCTAGGTAGTTTTTTAACTAGATATCGTTGAGGTTTACGATTAATACCTTCGAGGGAATAAACTCAGACCTCCTCCTTCTTCAGAGAGTGCCTTCTCCAGTCTCACCTCGAATGGTGTTGCATGCCAACTCACTTTCTGATCCTGCGTAAGGTAAAGAGAATGAAAACAACTCATTATCTGTAGTCCCTGAATACGATAGAAATCGAAAGAGCCTAGAATAACACGAGAAGTAATATACCTCCTTGTATTTGGTTGTGGAATTTGGGATCCCATTCCCGTCCCACCATTTGGGTGAAATCTCAGTTTGCACATTCTCATTCCAGTGAGCAGCAACCAATCCAATGATAGGCCTGTCACCTGGAGTCATAGCATTGACTCCAGGTGTCCCATCGTTTAAAACCTCGATGTTTTCTTTAAAGTCTTCGTTGATTGGGTTTAGCCAAGGAGATGCCTCAAACTTGGACAGTTTCTCATCTGATCTTTTTCCCCCATAAGTTGCTGAAGTGGGAGTTTCACCCTCTATCTGCTCTTGTTTTTGGCTCACATATGAATCATCCTGGACATTATATAAGGATGCGTTTTCCATTAGATTGGAAACCGAATGCACAAACTGCGATCTGATTCTAGGCCTTCCCCTTCCTGCTGACACCATGTTTGCTGGATATACGGTTCCAGGAGTTTGCATCTCATCAGATAGCCTCAATGGGGTTGGATTAGGCGAGCTCACTGTACTTTTGCGACCCATCTCTGGTTTTCTTGAACTGCTATTCTCAGAAGAGTTGGAAGACTGAGATTGATCAAGATCACATTCGAACCGCACAGACTTCGTCTTTCCAGCTGTGAGCGTTGGCCTGCCAGATCTATGTATCTCACCCTTGACCGCAGTGCCGATGCTTTCTACTTCAGCAGCATCATTAGCAGCAGATGAGATCCTAGCAGCGTCCTCGTCCTCGATTACACAACTAATATGAAAAAGAATATAGTGACTTCCAGATCGAGAATAATGTTAGCGTAGAAACCACACCAGTGATATAAAAAGCATGCCAATTTAATCAAGCATAGCTCAAGAAGGCAAAATGCATGTTTATGCTCTACCTGCTAGGTGTTTGCTCTGAAGTAAGTGATGACCTTCCCACCTCTTCACAAGCTTTAATGGGAGCTGGTGATTCATCAAAATGAAACCCTAGCGCAGAGCTACTGGAAATCCACGAATGGAAATAAGAAGCTCCAGAAAGTTGAGGACTACTCAGTTTTTGGGACGCTTTCCTAATCTCAACAGGCGTCCCCGGTATAGTTCCACAAGCTTTAAGAAACCGCGCCTAGAATTCCACAAGTTAAAAGAAAAAAAAAGTTGATGGTTAGATTACTACTGTTTCTGAAATAGAATCCCTACATTGTCATAAATAACTCAGCTAATTGCAAGCACTAATGCAAGATTTCATTATAAAAACAAAGCTAAAGACCACCTCAGTCACCAAAACAAAATCATAGACTCTATCTTCTTCTCATCACGCAAGAAGAGCACAGATCTTAATTAGTTATAAACAAACATCCCATCCACTATAATCAGATGATTAGAAGCAATGCTTCTAATATATATATTATACCTCATCCCTTAGGCCTTTGTCAATATATATAGAATCCAAATCAAATCTTTCGTTACCAAGGCAAGGCGACGAAGCTGCGTTCTCTGTAACAAAAAATCAATTACACTACCTTTACATTAAGAAAAAGCCACAGAAACAAATCCGATTGAAAACACATCAATAAGAGATTTACCTTCAGATTGAAACGAACCAGATAAATGACTCTGCGTCTCCTCACCTCTCTGAAGATAGTTATTGAATAAAAATAAATAAATGTGATTCAGAGATTCGTTTTAGTCTTTACAGATCAAAACCTAAGCTCAACAATCAAATGAAGAATCTATTTCTCATCAACGATCATTGTAGGAGCTTAGATCAACACCAAAACAAGCCACGGTCATGCAAAACAAAAGATGCGAGAAGCTAAATAAATTACTTTGGAATTGGCGAGTGAAGAGTGAGTGATAGATCGGTCGTCTCTTCCGCGGAAGCAGTTGAGAAAACAAGCCATGACTCTGCAAGCTGAAATGTCGATAAATCTGAGCGCCGATCTGCACAATAGACTTAGGCTCCGCTTCATCAACAAGCGTCTCATAGGCCGAATCAGTGAAGCTATAGAGAACTCTTTTCAATCAGGAGAGGAAGATTTTCCCGAGAAACACGCAGAAAGCTAAAAGAAATAAAAAGGAGAGAGTGATAAGCCGTTTTTTTTAAATTTGAAAACCTAAAGGCGTACGGTGCGAGGGAAGTAATCAGGTGCGCGCGGGTGTATCTGATCCCCAAAATAGAACGTGTCCATATTTTATTATGGGCCTTCCAGATGAAATGGCCCAAAAGGCCCGGAATCCGTGTTTTTAAGAAATTGACTCGCTTAGTAATCTGACGTGGACAAATTTGACACGTGGCGCATTATAATACCTCAACAGCCTTATCTGAACATCAACTCTTCTCATCTAATATCCAAAACCAACCAATCATCTTCACTCATGATTTTCACCTTCTTTACATTATCACACACTCCACAGTCCTCAAAACAAAACACTTTCATCACAACTTAACCTGACACAGAGCTTAAGACACAGAGACAGAGATAGAAGATGGCGTACAGCGCGTGTTTCCTACACCAGAGCGCACTAGCCTCCTCCTCCGCTGCAAGATCATCACCTTCCTCATCATCACAACGCCACGTGTCACTCTCCAAACCCCTCCAAGTTGTCTGTAAAGCACAACAGACTCAAGAAAAAGATAACTCCACCGTATCTCGCCGTCTTGCTCTCACACTCCTCGTCGGCGCCGCTGCAGTTGGTTCCAAAGTGTCCCCAGCAGATGCTGCCTACGGTGAAGCTGGTAAAGAAACATCGAACCAACCTATGATCATTTCGTTTTTTCTCAGACATGAAAACTAAAATTTTTGGTTTGGTTTTTTGCAGCAAATGTGTTTGGGAAGCCAAAGCAAAACACAGACTTCACTGCGTACAGTGGAGATGGATTCCAAGTGCAGGTGCCAGCTAAGTGGAATCCAAGCAGAGAAGTTGAGTATCCAGGACAAGTCCTTAGGTATGAAGACAACTTTGACGCTACTAGCAACCTCAATGTCATGGTCACTCCTACAGACAAGAAGTCCATTACTGATTATGGTTCTCCTGAAGAGTTCCTTTCTCAGGTCTTTACTCACATGACATCTACACAGTAGATATATTGAATATCAAAATCTTTTTAAGATTGAATAATGATTCAATTCTTTGGATCTTTTCTTGCAGGTCAATTATCTTCTAGGGAAACAAGCTTACTTTGGTGAGACTGCCTCTGAGGTAAACTCCCAATCTCCATATCTAATAGAAAACCTGATGCTGAAAGATTGTGTATTACAAAAAGGAAAAAAAAAAGAAGATTAGGATATGAGATAATCAAACACCAAAGAGAATAGAATATATAACTGTGTGTGTGATGAATATGATGTTACTTGCAGGGAGGCTTTGACAACAATGCAGTGGCAACAGCAAACATTTTGGACACAAATGTTCAGGATGTTGGTGGGAAACCGTACTATTACTTGTCTGTGTTGACAAGAACAGCCGATGGGGATGAAGGTGGTAAGCATCAGCTGATCACAGCAACAGTGAATGGAGGCAAGCTTTACATCTGCAAAGCACAAGCTGGAGACAAGAGGTGGTTCAAGGGAGCCAATAAATTTGTCGAGAAAGCAGCCACTTCTTTCAGTGTTGCTTAAATAAAAGCAACAGTGCTCTGCTTGCTTATCTTCATTTGTCTCTTGTAAAAAAATGGAAAATGAAACTTAGCTTTTGAGAACTATCAAGATGATGTTACCTTTGCGGCTTTTCCAAAATTTATATTCGGTAGATCTTTGCTCATTAGTATATAATGATTGCTCAAACTAAAGACACTGACTAAGGAAAAAGGTGTAGACTAATTCCAAATCCTTGAAAACCTCAAGACATTGAAGATAACATGTTCTATATATAGCTAAGAGGTTTGTGTGACTGAAACATCTCTTAAAGCAAGTTTCACCTCCTTTTTCAAAAACACTTCCTTGGCTATTATTGAAATGCTTCAAGAAACAAAGAGATTTTATTTGTATAAATGTATTACAACACTTAGCGTCATCTATATGCAACTTTTAGTTCATATTGTAAGATTTTTGAGCTTTACAAATGCTAGTCTATAAGAATTCAGAGATACTCAACAGGGAAACCAACGACGGGTGTTATCTCAGAGGCCAAGGACCGTAGCTCAGCCACTTCGTCGTCTGTCAGACTCCAACCTATAGCTCCCGCAAACTCTTTGGCTTGTTCCGCGTTCTTGGCTCCTGGGATCGGTATCACGTTCCCTTGTGCCACCAACCAGTTCAATGCTACCTGCACAGCACAACACAACAAAACAAAAGACTCATTGAGAGCTACCTTGCCACGGTTTACTCAACTTCTAACTGAGCCTTGTATTGTGATAGCAACAAGTGATCTAGAAACATTTTGCCTCAAATAATTTAGTTCTATGGATAGCTTGAAACTGACAAGAAGTAACTATACAAAAAGAAAAAGTAGGGAACATAAGGAACAGAGAAAGAACCTGTGTGGGAGTTTTGGTGTAGTTTTCGCCTATTTGTTTGATTCTATTCAGCAGGGGTTGAAGCTGTAATCACAAGTCATAATTAGTGAAAAACCTCACAAGATTATGCTACTTTATGATGATTGTATAGGTACATTCATTTGTGGGTGTTTGGTGTATATGCATTTTCTCAGCACAAGACTTACTAGAGTACTTAAAAGCAGGGTTAGTAGAAGGTTTGTAACAGTATGTGATGGAAAACAAGACGTTTCTTAGAAGACTTGAGGAGGGGTATTACAAGCTATTACCTTTGTTAAAAATTCACGAGTATAGATGCGACCACGAGGACCTGAAGGTGGGTTCTCTGGGGTGTATTTACCAGTTAGAGCACCTGAAGAAAACAAAAACAAAATAACAGAAAACGTTGATGTTCATTTACCAGGTTGTGTATTTTTTTAGTAATACCATAGGATCTGTGTACAACTATTCTAGAGTAAGATGAACATAAAGGAAAATCACCCTGAGCAATGGGAGAATATGCAATCAAAGTGACTCCAAGCTCATCACAGGCAGCCTTTACACCAGTCTGCTCTGGAGCTCTGTATATCAAACTATAGTTGACTTGATTTGAGGCCAGAGGAATTCCTCTTTTTTTGAGTCTCTCATAAGCATCACGTAGCCGCTTCTCTGAAGAAAATACAACACAATACAGTGAGTATGATAAATCCGAAAGTTAAATAAAATAACAACGGATGTGCATATGAACTTATCAAACCTATCACACTTTTTCTAGTTACTTTTTTAATCCTTTAACAAAGGAGAAGATCTATCTTAGTTTCAGTTTAACTAGAAAAATTTACACATCCTGAGTTAAATGTCTTTTAGTTTAAAATGTGTATGATCAAAGAAAAATAGAAACAGATTGAAATGGTACCACTGTAGTTAGAAACACCAACAGCCTTCACAAGTCCTTGTTCAACAGCATCCCCAAGACCATCCAAATATCCTAAAAACATAATTCATCCTGTCACTGGATTTTGCTATATTAACCAAAAAGTTACTAAACTCTAGCTCATTAAAGTGTCTTCAATGCAACCTTCATTTCCCCATAATCCAGGCCTGAAATGAAACCAAACGAATAGTGAGATTGTTCCTCAACAGTTTTTACTCTTTTAAAGTAATATATATGAAAACATACCAATGGAGTTGATAAAGATCCACAGAGGAAAGCTCAAGACGGGCAAGGGAATCTTTAAGGGCAGAGATAACACTTTCACGACCCAAACGCCAAGGCAAAGCAGCATACTTTGTTGCTACAGAAACCTCAGCTCCAGGGTACCTCTCTTTTCTCTCCCTAATGAACCTGTTCAAAAAAACTCACCAATGACATAATCAAGAAGAATATATTTAAACGATTCTTGGTTAATAAAGTGTTACAAAAACAAAAAATGTACCTTCCTAGAAGAGTCTCAGAGCTTATAGCACCCAAGGAAAACTAGTGGAAACAAGAAGGTCAGATTCCACATAAGGTCTTCCAAACAAAGCAATCAAGTTTCTAGGTTCTTACCTTGGAACCATAAACTTCAGCTGTATCAAAAAAATCTATACCACTGTCAAGACTAGTATCGAAAGCTCCTTTGGCAGCCTTCAATTTCCTGTCTACCATCACAATAAGATAGAATAAAAATCAATCTTTAGATTATTAATTATATTTTTGAATGTATCTAGAAAAGTATTTAAGTTATTTTTGAACTGACCATCCCACTGAAAATCATTCCAGTAACTGTTATCACCCCATGACCACACTCCAATGCCAAGCTTTGTCACCTTCAGATCCGAGCCACCTAAATTCACTTTTGTCTCTTCCGAAATCGCCGGAGCTACGGAATCTCCGGAGGCTACTGCTCTCACTAGCTTCCGATCGAACCTTCCTCTGCTCCGAGAGGCTTCCGAGAGAACATAGTTGACAGGGAAGCTGAAATGCGTAGCCATGGCCATTGGGGTTTGCGGTATTGTAATTTTTGAAACTTGAAGAGGAGGAGAGGAAGAAGTAGAAAGAGGTTGCGAGAGGTGAGCGACGGTTATACGGACACGTAGGATGTTGGCGGTCCGAACAAAATCATAATAAATAAATTAAAAATATATTTTAAAGTACTTTTCACTGTCTTAACCGCAAAAAAGGGTGTTTGTTGCAACACGCGTTTCTGTCTAATTCTCATAATAAACGTTTTAGCGTTTAAAACTTTTTCCTCCCACTGACGTTACAAAGTTGAAAAAACTTCCTCACAGTTTTGATGTTATTGGTCAAATTTTTTTGCTTTTTTTAATAGATACTTATATATAAAATCTGCCCGAGAATTAAGAATCAGTTATTTACAAATTGTTTTGAACAAAATGTCATAATTTAACTATTACATGTCTAGTTTCGTTCACCATTCAATCCAACACGTTTTGCTAAATTGTTTTTTGATATCGGTAATTATTCTCAACCATCAAAATAATTTTCGAAAAGGGTGTTGTTAGCGATTATGCACACACATTTCAGTCTTCTCCTCATAATGTTGAAAACTGTTGAATACAGAGTTTATATATTATTCTACCATAAACCTTACACGAAAGCATTAGATAAAGAACATTTTGGAGAGTATTTGCATCTTTGACATGCTATTCTAAATGTTTTTAAATAATTACTTTGATAATAACTAGCATAATGTACTTATGTTTATAACCTATCTACCTGCCTACTCACAAGTTTAAAATAGGCTTAACCATGCTTAAGTCTTAACCCATTTTATAGTGGGTATACATATATGTATTCCCTAAAGAGGTTTATAACTATATTGGGCCATCAGCCCATTAAAAATTGACTCACGTGCACAATTTACATTGGCACGTTATCATCTTCTTCCTTTGTGATTCAGCGGCGGCCAATTTGAATTTAGGGTTTAGAACAGATTCTTTGAGCCTAATCTCAACACCTTACAGCTTCCTGTCGAGAGATCTCGAGCTTCACCTAATCAATCGTCTCAGTTCATTTTTTTTCCAAATTAAGTTTTGAACAGTTTTGCAAAACATGTTCTGTCTGAGCGAGCTGGAAGATACAGTAAGAGTGCCACCGCATCTCCTTAATGGCCCCCTCGAAGATGCCATCAAGGAAGTGCTTCAAAAGCTGTTCTTGGACAAGGTTTGCTTCTGTTTTTTTTTATTTTGTTCTTAGTTATATATATACACTCACTAATCTTATGAAAGTGCTTTTTTATATATTTAAAGGTTTTGTCTATTGGGCTTTGCGTATCAATCTACGACATTAGATCAGTCAAAGGAGGGTTTGTTTTACCGGGTGATGGTGCTCCCACCTATAAGGTAATAATAATCTCAAACCTTTGCTAGTGTTTGGTTTAGGACTCTTTAATATAATATGATCATGTTTTGATGTTAATACCCTTTTTTTCCTTGTTCTTAATGATTTGCTAGGTACGTTTTAGAATTGTAGTGTTTCGTCCATTTGTTGGTGAGGTCATAGCTGCAAAGTTCAAAGAATCTGATTCCAATGGCTTGCGCTGTGAGTGACTACTTACATACATTTTTTTACTATGAATATTGACTTTATAAGTTAGCTTTTGTTATATGCTTTGATTTTATTACGGCTATTGTGCTATTAATATACATAATAAAGATTTCATATATACGTGGCAGTAACACTTGGATTCTTTGAAGATGTTTATGTTCCTGCTCCACTTATACCAACACCTAATCGCTGTGAGCCTGACCCTTATAATAGGTACTCAAGAAAAGTGTGTGTCCTGCAGTTTATGAGCTTTTTTTTACCTACAAAGTAAAATGTTTTTGACATTAACAGGAATCAAATGAGATGGGTGTGGCAATATGAGGGAGAGGAGTTTATTATCGACGATTCATGTCAGGTTAACTTTTGTTTTTTTGGTTCCCAAGTTTCTCCATACGTGTAGAATTTTTGAAAGTGGTTAAAGACGATGACGTTGTGAATTAGCAGATTAAGTTTCGAGTTGAGAACATAAGCTATCCGCCTGTTCCAATTGAGCGAGCAGAGGACGCTAAGCCTTTTGCTCCTATGGTGGTCACTGTAAGTTTTATCATTCTCTGAACTTATACAACAAGACTTTTTAATATAAAGCCTACAGTAATATATATAATCTTGTGAAAATGTGCAGGGGACTATAGATGATGATGGTTTGGGCCCTGTTTCTTGGTGGGAGGCTTGTGCTCCAATCAGTGACCAAGATTGAGAGACCTGAGCAAAACTTCTTCTTTCTCCAAATTGAAGACATGTTTTTTTCAAACTACTATGTTTTTTCACTTGACATAAGAAGTTGGGAAAGCCTAGGCCTTTTTGTAGTATATATTAAAAAAAGCAATGATACAAATGAGGGAAAAAAAAGTTCGAATGTAGCAAAGTTTTTTTGAAGCGGTTTGAATTGAGAAATTGGTTAAGCTCAGTTTGTTGAAGCGGTTTACTGCAGAGATTAAATCGGTGCTTGGTGACGATTGAAGAAGAAAAAGGGAAAGTGAAGCCTCTGACCGCGACAGAGTCTCTCCTTTCCGTAGGATATAAACTCTAGATAGTTGTCATGGGATGTGAGAGAAGAAGCATTTGATAGCTTGTAAAAGTTGTTGCTCTGTGTTGTTGAGCTGTAAACATCATCTCTGATTAATATATTGTTTGGGTTGAATCCGGCCTCGGATTAAACGTCATTACACCGATATTAACATGCCTTTGTTTGCATCTTGATGGTTGATGCCAATAGAGAGGAAACTTATACAATGGTGACTTTCAAAAATGGATCTCTCCCACTAGATACGATTCTCTTCTTTTTTAATATTAGACTCCTTGCTGTTGCTGGTATATAAAACGCTGTTCTCCAATTCCTCAAGTCATACCAGTATGTTTAAATATATGGCGCGAAAAGGAGGCTCTATCCGATTTGTTGATGAGAAGGCTCAAAAAACTATTAAGCCGCGCCAGGTAGGGGTCGAACCTACGGCCTTCTGCTTAGGAAACAGACGCTCTATCCACTGAGCTACAGGCGCATTGCATGCCGATTTGTTAGCAAGGTTGGAAATTCTATATATATAGCAAGACAACTGAATTTAGATGCACTTCATTTTCAAAGATGGATTTGAAAACTTATAACAAAATATAATTACAGTCTACAGTTTTGTCTAGGCCACAGTTATTTTACTGTAATTATTATTATTTTTTCTTAACAAAACTAAAGAAATATATACATTAAAATGTACTGATAATAAATTCTCTCAAATAAATTTCTTTTTTAAATTTTTATCACAAAAATAGATATCTTTACTGTAATTATTATTATTTTTTCTTAACAAAGTAAAGAAGTATATACGTTAAAATATACCGATAGTAAATTCTCTCAAATGGATTTTTTTAAAAACTTTTTATCCCAAAAATAGATTTCAAACACTAAAAGAACCAAAATAACATTTTTTATTTTGAAACTTTAAGTTTTTCTGTAAAATTTGAAATCATATCCATAAAATCCCATTCCTCTAACTCTATATAAGAAAATATATGATTAGTTAATCTAAAAGGTATAAGTGTATATTTACTTAATATTTTTTATAAAATATTTAAGTCTATTTTGATAAAATAAGATCTATATTTGTGATAGAAAATTTTTAGATCTATCCTAAAAAAATTCTCATATTTAATAAAATGAAATTCTTGTTAATCTAAATAATCTTTCAAAAAAAAAGAGGGAGACAAGATGTTGTGATGCTTCACGTGTTAATGTGCCTTTTACTTTTGATCACTAAAATATTCTATAACCCGACCAATAAAAAAAACATAAACTCATTTGTAATGGCAATTTATAGTTATTGAATTCACTTCTCTCTCCCCACACTTGAGTTTCCTCCTCCTATGCTCTTTCATTTGATAAAGAGAGAGAGAAAGCCTTCACCTCCATCATTAATTATCTTCTTCCCAACACACATTGACTCTCAAAAAAAGTCTCCCCCCCCCCCCCAAATTCACATCAATCATGGACAAATCTGACTCACAACCGAAGCCAACCAATCAAAATGCAGATCACATCCCCTCCTCCTCATTCCACCGCCGATCTCGTTCCGACGACATGTCAATGTTCATGTTCACCGATCCACTCATCTCCTCCTCCGTCGCACCACCTTCTTCCGACGACCTTCCTTCAGACGACGATCTCTTCTCTTCCTTCATCGACGTCGACAGCCTCTCCTCCAATCCGAATCCAAATCCGTCAATCTCATTTCCAGATCCCATTCCTCCTTCTTCGTCTCGTCCACGTCACCGTCACAGCAATTCCGTTGACGCGGGATGCGCGATGTACGCGAGTGATGAGATCATGGACGCGAAGAAAGCTATGCCTCCTGAAAAGTTATCTGAGCTTTGGAACATTGATCCTAAACGCGCCAAAAGGTTTTGTTTCCTTTTATTTTCAAACTTAGAAAGCTTCTTTTTATAAAAAAAAAAAGATTTTGTTATGAATAAATTTAACATTCATAATAGTTTGATCTAATTTTTTTTTTTTTTAGGTAAATGTTGATCTCGATATTTTTGTTCAAAACAAGCTTGTAAACTTATCCGATTCCCGAATTCTGGCAGATTTTATATAAAATTCTCATTATTAAAAAAAATAATAATAAAAAAAAGAAAGAATTTAACATTCACTTTAATCTCAGTTTAGTTCCTATTAATCGCAATGTTTTGTAGTTCCTATTAATTTCAAACTGAGAAGCCTTTTTATTGATAAGAATAAATTTAACAATATATTAATGACAAATTAATGACAAATTTTCAAACTCGTGGCATTGTGATTTGATTGCAGGATCTTAGCGAATAGGCAATCAGCAGCACGTTCGAAGGAGAGGAAAGCAAGATATATTCAGGAACTTGAGCGTAGAGTTCAATCTCTTCAAACAGAAGCCACTACTCTCTCTGCTCAGCTCACTCTCTACCAGGTAAAGCTTTGTTTCAATCAACAGAGTAAATTTAAAAGGTTTTTGCTCTGTTTCAATCAACGGTGAGTTTAAAGAGTTTCTTAATTTAATGTTTGTTTGTTTGATTTAGAGAGATACAAATGGATTGGCGAACGAGAATACAGAGCTGAAAATGAGACTACAAGCAATGGAGCAACAAGCTCACCTTCGTAATGGTAATAACCAAAGTCTTGTCTTTTGTGTGCATTTTGATGTCTCTGATTTTTAATTTCTTGTTTTTTGGTTTTTGTCAGCTTTAAATGAAGCATTGAGAAAAGAAGTGGAGAGGATGAAGATGGAGACGGGAGAGATCTCTGGTAATTCAGATTCGTATGATATGGGAATGCAGCAGGTTCAGTATTCTCCTTCAACGTTCATGGCGATACCACCGTATAATCATGGCTCAATCAATGGACAAGATATGCAGCAGATGCGAGGATTTAATCAAAGCCGTCCGATGGAGATGTCTAATTCTCAGAGTGTGTTGGAATTTTTGCAGAATGGACGGATGCAAGGACTAGAGATAAGTAGCAATAATAATAGCTCAAGCTTGGTTAAATCTGAAGGACCTTCTCTCTCTGCTAGTGAGAGTAGCTCTGCCTATTGACAAAATACACTGAGAATACATGTGTTATAGGTTTTTTAGATTTCATTTGATTTGATTTGATTTGATTTACTCTCAATTCTTTATTTATGGAGGTGCCAAAGGCTTTTAAATTGGGTTGTTGTGAGTTCGATTTGCTATTCCCATTGTTTGTTTGATCATCAAGGACCATGGAGATTCTTAATAAATTCGTTTTTCTTTTGGAAACAGTGTTGTTTTGCGACGTTTTCTTTCATTCTTTTTTTGTTGCTTCCATTCATAAGTATGCAGCATACAAGAGTGACTGAGAACCAAAGGAAAAAAAAAGAGTGAGCTCAGTATATTGGCAATATCATCTGTATATCAGATGCACACGAAGGACCCAACCTTCGTTTAACCGATGTTCTTCATCGCTCAAACAGAATGCACCAGCCGGTAATCGAACCCGGGTCTGTACCGTGGCAGGGTACTATTCTACCACTAGACCACTGGTGCTTGATGCTTTGATGGTTATCCTTCTAAAAACAATCGTGGAACTTTATTCCAGTGTGATATTTTAGTCAACATGGAACAGAATAAGAAAACAAGAACTGAGCGACATATATACATATAAAGGAATCTGAAAATCAAATACATGTGTTCAGTGTGTAATACACTAAATCCAAAACTGAAAATACTGATCTGTGTAGTAAATTGGATCATCAAAGCTGTGTTCCCCTCACTCTCTACTTTCTTCCATTTTCCATTACTGTTGTGGAAAGCTGTTGATTTTTCCAGTCACCCCTACTTCTCTGCTTTGCCATCTATTTTTAAAACAGAACCAACAAACAAAAGGAATTTTTAAAAGCTTTTGTTTCCTTCTGACACATCTGTTACAAAAGAGATGGCAAATGTTTAGCTTTAGGCTTGAAAATCTTTATTTGAGTTCCATACAGGAGCCGCCGCCTTTTGCACACCACCATCTGATAACACTCCGCTTCCATTTTCAACTGCTATTAACGGATCCTTCTCGCTCTCTTTCATCTGCCAATCCCAACAGGTAACATCAGTTTTTGTCTTTCTTGAACACCATTATAACACTACACCTATGAAGCACGGACCAATGTATAAAAAGACCTTTACCAAGCAAAACAATGCCTATGATACGGTTGCTTTTCTGATCTAATTATTAATCTTCTTGTACCACTGACATAGCAATTAGACTAATATCACTTTCCCCTTTTTTATTTTAAAAAAGTGAATCTTATGAAGAAAAGGGTTTCTTCTGTTAAAATCATTCGAGAGAAGTAGGTGACTCTTATCTGATATGGACCAGGGATAAATTTATCGGGGTCCAACATTCAAGAGTATGTAAACTATATACATATAGCCAAACAGACATATATTAGCTTAGAGGAACTATACCTGAGGCAACTGGGTTGATGTTTCACTTGCCTTCTGCTGAGTCTCAACCGAGCAGAAATAGGAATAAACAACCATTCCAAGCACAGCCACCATAATACCAAGAATGTTGCGCCAGTTGAATGGGTCCTTCAGCAACACGTAGCCAAATGCTAGAACCAGGCATGTTTTTAGATGTCCCAGAACCTGATATGTGACCGGGGACGTTTTCCCAATGACCAGAAAAGTGCTGAAGTTTACAGAGACTGATATTAGGCAGGACAGGACGATGAAGAACTGCAGTAAACAAAGAAGCACGAGTAAATGTGTGTCACAAAGAAGCTAGAAGACTAATAATAAAGCTGGGTGGAACCTTGGCAGAGTGGCTCTTACCACAACTTGAGAAGTGTACTTGAAAGCAAACACATTCTGGTTGGTTAGGAGACCATCTAGGAAAGGGCCAGTGACGAAAAGTGTAATTGCTTGATAAGGGCAAGACTGATAAAGAAGTTGAGTGGATGAAACTTTAAACTTCTTCTGGATGGTATTTGTCATCTGTGTACAGTTGGTTAAGAGAACACCATCGTATTGGCATAGTATAAAATATAGAAAGATTGAAAGAATAAAGCAATGAGAAAAGAATGGTTAAGCATAAGATACAATTTGAGCAACACAAGTTGTGATAACAGCCAGCAGAGACAAAACAGAACCGAGCATATTAAGCTGAAGATCTGTGACGGTTGCAATCCCAACACCAAGGAGAAGGATGGTTAACGAAAACTGAATTTTTCGACTGCAAACAAAAAGAAGAAGCGCATCCTCCAACTTAACCATCATTTAAGTGTAACAGAAATGTACACAGGGTAAGAAAATTTTGAGCGCTAACCTGAACTTTTTCCTGAAGAAGAGGGTCTCCAAGAGAACAGTACAGGGGATGATTGCTAGTTTTGTCATCTAATATCAACAGAAGAGAAGACGGGTTTGAGAAACACAGGTCAAAAAGATATCATCATATAGCAGCTGGAATGACAAAGCAATTACCTGGTAAAACCCAACGGAATTAAAGCCTAAGCTGAGGTTCAAGAGTCCTATGGAAATCCCATTCAATATCCCAAATCCCATCACAGCTCGTGGATCAAAAGGCTTGTGTTCAAACATCTTCATCCATAGTGCCACATGAAGGGAACAAAACGTGACCAATAGATGCCAACTAGTCAAAGTAGTCGCTGTAATTACAAAAATAAAAGAATAATTAAGTAGACATAGCTTATGAGATCAATAGCATATGATGCAGTTATTGTAACGCAGGTTTCGAAAAAGATTGATCAGCGACTTGCTTAGTGTAATACTACATAAGAATTGCCAGTATATCTGCTTCCCAGCAACAAAACCATCATCTCCCACAGAAAAGAAGAGCCAAACTAGACTTTTAAAGTCAAAGCAGCGTGTAAAGAGTTTTCTATTACATACCAAAGATATGATTCTTTCTTAAAACATGTACAATCAATCAAGCCAATTCTCGTTATGGACCGTAAGGGGAAAGAAAAGAGATAAACACCTAACAATTCCAAACATAGTATTAAAGTAAAATGATCTCTAACCTATTTCCTTCAAACTCATACGCTAAGAGTAAACATCTACATACAAGTACACGTATAGACTAAAGGAGTATGAAACAGTAAAAATCAAGGGGGGGGGAAAGGAAGTTACCGAAGGTGAAGCCAAGGGTGCTAATAAGCGCCTTGTTACAGATCACGATGGACACAGACGATACAACGGATAAACTCAAAGCGCCTATTGTTCCCAGCTGGAACTTCTGCCCCTCGCTCATCTTCACGCCTCTCTTAACTTTTTCTTATCTCTCTCGCGCTTCAATCACGATCTACGATGATGATCTATTATCACCAAAATATTCAACATTCGATTCAGAATCATAGTGCTAGCAAGTAGTAAACGTAAAGGAAAAAGAGCGATCTCGAGAAAACGAACCTTCTTATTGGTGCATAACGTATACGTAAATGCGAGAGGATTGAAGCTCAACTGCAGGAAAAATGGGAGAAATATAAAAGTCGTTAGAGGAACATTTTAACAGAAGTTGGAGAAGGAAGAAGATTTAATGAGAAGCTATAAACCCTAGATCTGCCGTTATGATGAGACATAGAGAGATTAGAAAATTAGTTCAAACGGAAATTGAGGAGACGCGAAAGTAAAGGAGGTAAGAGGGAGAGGGAAACTCACGGGATAACGGAGAGAGAGAGTTCAAAATTTCTGATGGAGGAGAAGAGGATTCAGATTCTGTGTATAATAATAGAGAGAGAGAGAGATTCCACTATTTTCAAAAGTTTGGTGGTCGTCTCTGCACTCACCACCACCGTACAGAGGAAAATAGTGAGTCAGAGGAAACTTATAAGGGCCCACCAGAAAATTAACCGCGGGTTAAAATCAAGGTGTGCTGCTTGAGAGTTTATATGACATCATTTTTAAAGAACAAAAAAAATATCTCGAGAAGCAAAAATGTTCATGCAAGTTTACTAACAAGGGAAATTAAGATGAAATGCTTAATATTTTGAATAACTCCAATATTTTTTCATGTAAACTAGACATGGTCAGAAAAAGTTGTTATTGGGAACAACATTTCTACCGACCAAAATAGAAAAAGAAAACCGAAAATATCATAACATGTAATTAATTAAAAAATGTCAATAGCTGGACTGCTTGTATAGTTTCAACCTCAAATCAACCGACAAAGCATAATCTAAAATGCAAATCCTCAAAATCATAACAAAAAGCGACATTTTGGAATGTTCCCCGAGAGTATAACAGATCTGGGTAATAATAAAATGGAGCTAAAACAAAAGAAATAGAGGACGAAGCAAAAACTCTTGTATAGTGTTGGTTTTGTGTGTGTCACTCACTAGCAGAGGCTTGGGTAAAACTTTGAAGTTGACTTGAAAGCCACAGCGTCTGCGATGACCTGCACCGACTTGGTGGTATCTGTCTGAGTTTCCTTTATATTGGTGTTGCATCCCCACACCCTCACCGCAAGCCTACGTGATTTGGGTGATGATTCTTTGAAATAAGTTTTATACCAGCTGATCACATCTTTCTTCTCTATGCTTCTTAGTTCTTCTGCTTCTTTCTGGGAGTAATCAAACATGTACCTGTAAGAGAGAGAGAGTTAACTCCATTTTTGTCACTGACCAACCATTATGGAATCAAGCAACTCATTTTAACTTACCTTTTGTCAACAATCTGACTCCATAACTCATTTGTCTCAGACAAGAGAGATGGATCCTTTTCCAGCAATCTAGCAATCATACCGCTTCTATAATCTTCAAATGATTCTTCATCGAGTTGCTCCTGCAATTAAACCCCAAGTAAACATTTGTGGAATGAGATTGAGAAAGCTTTAACAACACTTAAAATCGTCCTTTAGTTACACAAACTTACAAGCATCCCTTCGATGTCTTTTATGAAATTGTCGATTCTTCCGAGCAAATGAACTGGACCGTACTTGGAAGATTGAACACAGAAACAGAAACCGTGGACACGGTAAGTTAAGCGAGGGCCACACTCGACAACATAACCAAGCTGCTCCTTTGTTCTATAACCAAAGTTGCATTAATTATATAGCTATACATCAAATACAATTTGATATATAAAGCAAAACTAGAGAAGCATGTGATGACTAACCTCAACTGATTGAACAATGGCTCTTCTATGATTTCACTAAAGAGATCCAGCACAGCTTTCATTCTTGTTGACTTAGCTTCCTCAGGCTCGATTTGATAGTAAAGCTGCAAAACAGGATTCAGGTTCGAATTAATATCTGAGAAACCTAATATAGCTTCTACTTAGCTGAGTTAGTTCTCATCACAAGAGCAGTCTTTTTTGGTTTTACCTCGACTACTGAGTTTGTTTCAGATTTGTTCTTCACATTGACATCTCTTACAAGTTTGGCACTCAGAGGGAAGCACGTTATCCGCTCTCCATGTCTGGATTTGACTGGAAGCGGTTCAACTGTCAAACTGTTTTTGAATATGTTTGATATGTTTACTGCTTCATCTTCCGACAAATTACCATGGCACAGAGCCTCAATAAATATCTGCAATCATAACAAAAGTTTTATCTAACCTTTGCAAAGGAGTAGTCGAGGGTTAAGTGAAAGGGAAATCACATCAACTGTGGTTGATGCATAATGTTACCTGAGAGCGGACTTCAGGAATAAAGCTGTTGAGATCAGCGAGAGACAAATCATTTAGTACAGACAACTTCTCGTCGCTATCATAGATTCGTTTACACAAGAGTTGCAGTCTCAAGTATGTGGAGTGGTTCAAAGGCTTCATATTAGTATTTCTTAACCCTCTCTCCATGTTTTCTTTGATAACCTGCAAGGTTAGATAGAAAGGTATCCGCGGATCAATAAAGAACGAGAAGAAACTGACACAAAATTTCAAGACTGAATGAGAATCAATAAAGAGTATAACAATTATACATGCGAAATTTCACACCTTAAATCGGTCCAAGCTTGGCATGAAGGATTTGGCTATGGCTAAGATTTTTGATAAGAGAGCTGGAATTTTTTCGTTAAAACCATACACTTTAAGCTCTAGTTTATCACCATACATAGATAAAGAAGTTTCTAGTTTTGCTATACTGGCCTGCAAAAGAATCATATATTCATGTCAATAAGAACCAAAAACATCTAGAAATATCTTCCTGAAAGGTAGTTACTTGCCTGGTATATGATCTCATTGAGCTCATCTTTCAGAAGATTTATATATAATTCCGTCAAAAGGCAGTTCTTCACACTGCCATATGCCCCCTTCAAATTTATGCGGAAGTATGTATTTGCACGGGGAACCTTAAACGTTTCGTCAAGCTTGTACCAGAACTTCATTAACGGTTCATCAATTATACATTTAGGGGGAGACTGACTTTTGAGATCCCCATCAGAACTAGTGGCTCGGATGGAAAAATCAGAAGGGATGAATTGGTTTTCTGCAGGGAGATGCAAAGATTTATCCACTTCTTTAGGATTGCTCCATGTTTCCATCAACGCCAATGGGACATCTTCTACTATGTAATGAGAACCGAACCAAGGCTCAGTTTGGAACTCTGAAAGAAGGAAGTTTCAAGAGAAAGATAGTGAGAAATATGCAATCCAAAAGTTAACATACTCAACAAATCTCTAAAGTACCTTCTGACTTGATGGATTTCGAAACAACATCAATCCTCATGTTTTTTGGTGTGAAGAAACCCATGAGATCTTCTATCATTTTTGGATCCCATGTCTGGTATACATAATCACCATAAATAATGTGCTCTACCGGATAAGCAAGCATATTCTCTGCACAATAACACTTTCAATGGTTAACTAAGAAAGCCCATGATGGCTTACATACACCAATACTTGATAAACTATGAAATATATGGCCTTTACAAGCCAACATAAAAAGCTAACCACTATTAATGCCTTATAAGAATTAGATAATGACAATGTAAGTACAAACCTGAAAGCTCAGCAGCATAATCATCGGCAGCCTGCTCCTCAGCATATCTAAAGTCCATGTTCCCAATATCTTGGAGTTCCTTGAATATCCATTCTTGTGGTGACGCATCACGCAGTAACTTGAGATATTGATAGGTGTAAGCAATGATGTCATAAATCTGTTTATAGAAGTTGTCATAAGGTCCAATGAGTAACGTAACAAAGTAAAAATGGAGAAGAACAGTGTGTACAGCTATATAGAGTTCAAAAACGATTAATGCATCAAGCTTAGTTAAAAGATAACCATTTACCTTCTCTAAACCAGAGTCAGTGAGATGTATGGACATTCCGAAAACATAGGCTAAAGACGAGCGGTTAATTCCATCATCTCCAACACCAGCAGACAGCGAGCTTGCCCAGCCCTTATCTTTAAGGAATGATAGAAGACTTCCTCTGCCCTCTAAAAAAGGTATAAACAACATTCTTCAGTATGCAGTTTACATGCACAAGCACGCTTTAAGAAAAACTATATATAAACGATAAAAAAGGATGTGATTCCTCACCATGTCCTAACAGATGTGCTAGATAGTCCTCCGGCTTCTTCACATAGGCATGGCGAAGAGGAGGGAGAGTCCATGTTAAATCAAGAGTATGAACATCTTTAACCGCTTCTAGGCGATATAATTTACCGCCTTCCCATATAGGACCTTTTGCCTCCAGTGTTGGTCTAATTTTGGATCCGTTTTTGACATCGCCAAATAGTTCTACAACCCAACTTTCAAGTATATCGAGAGATTCTGCAATATTTATAGGTAACCATGAATTTACAATAAACTCAGAGAGCAACAAAAGCCAACGTATATGAACCTAAATATTTCCAAGAATTAGAGCCAGACACATCATAAACCTAAAGAAAATACCTCCTCCAATGACAACGAGTTTCATCAATCCACCGTGGTAATATTCCTTGTACAATTTCACGATGCATTCCCGCAGATCAACCCCATTTTCCATTGCACCACTCAAGCTCTTCTTGTTACCTTACAGAGCACACGAAGGACAGAGTTATTTAACGATTATCTTAAGTGTGGCAAGAAAGGTACACCGACATTTCCTTACCCCATGAGAACCTATTAAAAGGATGACCCTTCGCAGACGTATAGCACTGTAACTGCTGCAGACGGCATGCATCATTTTGGAGGGCCTGGTTAAATTCTACAAGTTTGGATGTTGTTAGCAAAACAGTTATAACTATATAAGAGGTTCATGTACTTGACTGTTGGTTGAAGATGAATCTTTCGATAGTTTCTAACAAAGGGACTAAGGGTATGGTTAACAGGAAGTACCTGAATCAACAGCAAGGACTTCTCTTTCCATGGCTTCAGTCTTCATGAGCGGTGCAACAAAAAACTGAGAGAACCTATTAACAAGAAGACAAACTAAGACAAATAATGTTCGAAAGAACAAAATTTAAAACAGAAAGATTAAATCTACAGCAAACTCAGATATTGCCTATGGAAAATGTTCTACAGAAAATCATTTAGGTACAATGCAGGTGATACATATGGGACAAATTACGTTTAGGGAGTAAGTAAATGCACCTTTTCAAGGCGCCTTGAAGGAACTCTCTCTTGACTTCAAAGTGATAGCACGTATGCTCCATTTCGGTGTAAGCGTTAGAGGAACCTCCATGCTTAGACAAGTAACTATCATACTACAAGCGAAACAAAGTCAAACCCCAAAATCATGTGACCATAATACTAAACATTTAGAAAATCTAATCATCATCCATTATACTTACTTCATTCTCATCAGGGAACTCAGTGCTACCCATAAAAAGCATGTGCTCTGCACAAACCATAAA